TGTGCAAGTGAAGCATACGTGGATGAAAATGTGATGAAGAGATGTGTTCTCAATTAGGTCATTTAAACTTGAATGCCAACAAAAATGAGAGGAGAATGGTTTGTGATATATTTATGCATTTGACTACTGCTGAATTTGGGAGTTGTTTTCCATATTTGAGCCGTTAAAACTATAAAAATAGATAAATCGATAAAATAAATTACTACAATATATAGGAACTTAATCATTAGAATAGTCAAATTGACAACGATATTAGAGTTGACAAAAGCGAAAACTTGAATATTCTCTAGTTTCGCTTACTAAAATAAAAACACGATAAAAATATAAAAATAAATTTCTCCGTGGCACTTTTTCAACACCGTGATTTTGAAGTAAATTAGAAATATATAAAATAAATTTGATTTGTATGTGAATGACATATTGATCTACCTAATCCACAATTCGATTTGTTTGAGCCTCATTTTATTGTAATAATGCATTTTTGAATAGTATTAATGAAGGATGTAACGGTTAAAATATAAGGAAAAATTTTGGGTACGCATGTAATATTATTTTATTGAAAAATGAGCGATTGAAAAGAAAATAGAAAAATGTATTTTGAAAATAATGGGATCAATGACTCAGCACATTTTATTTTTTGAAAATCAAACCACATTAATAAAATTCAGAATTGACATTGGAAAAGGGTAGTTCAACTGCATGTTCATCTGGAAATATAACCATTATCATACTATAATTAGCATAGACTGAAAGCTGGAAAAAATCTTTATTAATGCACAAAATATATTTCCCCACAAGTTCCAGAATATTATGCTCTGACCCCCAATATTCCTCTTCTATACAAAAAGCAGTCAATAAATTGACTCACCAGAATGATACCATACATAATTGTGAAAACTCGATGACCAAAATCTTCTGCACTGATTCACAACACAAGCATGCCATTGGGTAAATAAATTTTCCTTGTCAAACAAGGAAATTGCGTTTAATTTTGCCTTCGCTCGCACCCAATAAATTTACCTTCGGACTCTTTGCATTTCACTATTTGTCGTCACGCAAAGGTAAAAAGGGAGTGGAAACAGTAATCTTCCTCTAATGTGAAGAGAAAAAAAAATTTCTAGAGAAAGGGTGGTGGAAATAGTAATTTTCCTCTATGCTCGAACAAACCAGCCAATCCTTTGTTCCCTTTCAGTATCAAGCACGCCCCACTTCTCTTTCCCACGCGCATTAACTTCAATTTACACGCACGACAACATAAGAAACCGTGCACTAACTCGCGTGTTCATATAATATGCTATCTGAAGCCGCCGGGTTCAAATACGCGCGTAGTTTAGTGAGTGATTTGGAAATTGCAGAAAGTTGCCGATATCTATCTCTACTCCGGGAAACGGCGGTACGAGTGACGGCCGCTGGCGACAGAAAAACTCCTTTTTTTTCTCACAGTTAAACATTGTTTTTTTAATGTGTAATTAAAAACTAGAGAAAAATTATACAAATACTAATAAAATTATTTTATTGGTGGATTTGATTAAAAATGAGTTTGAAGAAACGTTATTTTGAAAAAAATTAAATCAAACAAGGATAAATTATAATTAAGTGGATCACTTTCAAATTTTTTATAATTCATATCTTGCTGTTACCTATTATCTCTATATTTTCGTAGGATCCATGACTAATAAACCCTTAAAAACACTAATAAACAAGCATGATATTTATCTTTAATGTTGATTATCACTTAAGTTCAATGATGTAACAGCTAATAATAAAAGAGTAATGTTGTTTATCATTATGATGATAAAATATTTGTGATGTGCCAACTCATTATCCTCACATTTCTCTCACCCCCTCTTTTATAAAGATTGAACTACCCAATTTCATTATTCCATATAAACTGCCACATTTTCGACGTTCCATTACTATAATGATAAACAACATTATTCTTCATAAAAATGCATTTCCAACAATGCATAGTGACATAAAAATGGTGGCATCAAAGTGAGGATTGATTACACTATTCTAGTGGGGAAGGGCATTTTTGTGTGACACATATCTTATTGTCACTCATTATTTATACATAACATAGGAGTCACAATTAAAAAGCCCTTAAAAGCACTATCAAATAAGCACGATGTTCATCATTGACACTGATTATAATGTGGGACCATACTCATGCTATCTAATAGACTAATTCGAAAGATGCATTTCAAAAAACATGATGTGGCCCCGAAAATGAAGGTGGCGTCAGCAGTGACAATGAATAACATTATTCTAGCAGGGATCTACCCTATCGTAGGACCTTGACTTAAAAGTCCTTAAAATAACTACCAAACAAGCACGATGCTAGTACTTAATAATGATTATCATGTGAGACCACTATCATGTTATCTAATAGACCAAGTTTAAAATATGAATAATTCTTCTTGTACATCAAGGGTGCCATAATGGAGGGGCATTTTCGTCAAGAACCACCAAAGTCGAGTCCGAATCAAAGCAAAATATTTTTTCAAATCGATTGTATTTAAGATCTAAATAATTTTGAATTTTAAAATAGAGAACTGACCGAACTTAGTCTCTGTTCGATACATATTTTTTTAAACTCATTCCCCCCCTCCCCCCGCCCCGCACACATTTCCACTTATATGATTCTCCAAATAAATTTTTTTTTGCGTGTTGATCGATAAAATTTTCATTGTTTTTAACCATACAATCTTCAAAAAGTTCACTTTTTAACTAAATCTATTCTTAAAAAATATTATATCAAGTAAATCATTCCTTACACGACCAAAGTTTTATTTCAAAATTATTTTCCTTGTTACCCTAATACGAAAAAAATAATCAAAATTAGGTATGTAAAACCCTAAAAGATGATGCAAAGGAGTGGTGCTTCATCTCCGTGGGGGCCAATAAGCTCAAGATCAATATTGATGTTACACTTTGCAATGAAGCAAGGACTATTGGAATTGGGGCTATTATTCGAGACCATGAGAGGATGGTCGTGACAAATCGTTTTACTTTTTGTTGGAAGAGATTGAAGTTCTCTATTAAGTAAGGGATTGACGTTTGCATGAAAATGTGTGTATTAGTTCCGATATAATTTGTTAGGTTTTAAATTATTTGTAATTGACGATTCTGTAAACAAAATGACTGAAATTGACACATTGTAAAAGTTTCAGGAGTAATGTGCAAATACGTTGAAAATATAATTGTTAGGTCTAGGGTTCGAGAATGACAAAAAGTGAAAAACGAAGCGGATTTTCGTTAGACTGTGCCAAGGTTTGGCTCGAGCTACAAAAGCAGAAACTCCATCGCTTGACTGTCGTCCTGCCTTCGCTCGAGCAACAATCTGTCACTCGATTGTCGCTGAGCCCTCGCTCGAGTGACAACTTTATTCGGAAAAGTTTTGTTTCGCGTTTTAAAAGTTTTTTCCTTGGTCCATTCATTTTTTTAACATACCTATAAATACCAAAACATTTATCTATCAAAATTCTAAGGTTGAACATTGAGAGAGCTACATCTGTGAGAGATTGATTCGATTCCTTCTTTCAACCTTCATCTTGTAAGTTTGTTTTGGAGAGAAAAACATCAATTTCATAATCCAAATACCAAACTGATGTTCCTTTACATCTGATCAGAGTTTTGAAGATAGATAAAGTTTGACTGGAGTTCCAGTCCGTAAAGAACGCGGTGTTCTTCATGGATCCACGAGAGATAAACGATTTCACAAAGTTATGAGTTGCTATAGGAGAGCAGAATCCATGAGAGTTTTGGAAAATGCAACTGGGAGTGGTGCATGAGCACAGAATCCAGGAAAGCTGTTGGAATTGTAGTTAGGAGATCAGATAGTACGTGTCGTCGTCTAAGCGGGTAGACTGTAAGTTACATATCGTTTATAATAGATTGTTGACTGCAAAGTGCCCGAAATTTTTTCCAGTTGGGTTTCTCCGTGATCATTCTGATGTTAATTTACTGCTTTTGTTATTATTTATTGATTGATCATATAAACTGTGGTATTCAAACTTATGGCTAAAATGACTTGCATGTTTAATCATCTAGATTAGAATTAAAAAGTGACTTGTTGCTGTTTAATTCGCAATATATTTTTAATTCCGCACAAAACACATATTCACTCCCCTCTAACTATTGTTAGGGTCGAGTTGCGTAACTTTCATAATCGAATGTGGTCTACGTGTTATTTATGATCTTAAAATTCGATTGTAATCTCTGGGTTAAGGAACTTATTATTTTGGATATCCCGTCTAGCTTTTGTTAGGGGCGAGTAGCGTATCTTTCATAAGCGAATGTGGTCTACGTGTTACTTATGATCTTATAAATCGATTGTAATCTCTCGGTTAAGGTTCTTATTATTTTGGATCATTTAAATGGGAAATGAGTTGTAACTCATGTCGCTATATATTTCATTTGTGATCCAGTATCAATCATTGTTTACCCCATTCAATATGATTCCTATGGAAATGAGATCGAACTACACTACGTCATCCACTGGGGTCACATAAGTAACTTTGGCTGAAAATTTTAATTAATTTTCCAAACATATGTCTAATTTGTGGGTATATTTCTCTATCATCATACCACACAATGGTGCAGGTTCTGAGTGTGTACTTTAATGGAGAGAGAGAGCCGTTGATAACATTAAACACACTCTCTTTCGTCTCACACTCTTATTGCTGCTCTGCCTTACGGTTCACGCCAAACGCCTGCTGTTCACTCTCTCCCTCTCTACATAAACGCACATTCGTATTTACACTTACACAGACTCGGTATCTATCACAAACATTCATGAGAGAGAGATGAACTCTGCTCTGCTGCTATTCACTACTCTTATCTTCTTCATTCTTGTTTCTCTCCAGTGATTTTCTGCCTCTGGAATTGTGCTACATTTCTTCATTTTTCTTCTCTTCTTCTCTCGATTCCTTGCATTTTGCCTGTTTGACGTTGGATTGGAGGAGACAACATTGTTGGTTTTCGAAAAGAACAAGAAAATGAAGCTGGGATTGTTCTTTGTAATGGTGGTGCTTTTGCTTTTGTTACCTCTCGCTTCACCTCTCAGTGATGAAGGTTCATCTCTCTCTGCCCATAAATGCAAGTGTGTGTGTTCGTGAGTTATTTGTTCTTTGTGTGGTTCTTGACCTTCAAATCACAAAGATTCTTTAGAATGTTCTGGGATTACGTTTCATTATACACAAATTCTTTTCACTATTTTTATAAAATCTTTTTTCAATCAGAGATAGCTGAATGAAATTTTAATCTTTATTTGTGTTTTCTAATCTTATTCTAATTATTTTTAAGAATGTATGCATGTCTCTGCAACTGTGTAACAGAGTTACGCTATTGATTATGATTATAATCTGTAATTCATTTTTTATGGGTTCCTAATATTTAAATAGGAATTTTTCCAAAGGCCAATTTTTTCGGCTCGGAAAAACGGTTACATGTAGTTTTTCATTCAAAATCCTTGTTTTATTCTTTTTGGAAAGTGAAAACAAAGTCCCATTTCTCCTAGTAAAGATTTTTTTTTTTTTGTAAATTTGGTTTTTGTAATATCATCTGCGATGTACATTTGAGTAAAAAAATGGACTGCAACTTTGTTGATTTGTAGTGTTCATTGATTTTGATAATAGGCAAAGCATTAATGTCCATCAAAGCATCATTCAGCAACGTGGCTAATGTGCTGCTGGATTGGGATGACGTTCATAACGACGATTTTTGTTCATGGCGAGGCGTGAGTTGTAGCAATTTCAGCACTTCTGTCGCTGCGCTGTATGTATTTGGCCCTAACCTTTTTCAATATAATATATTGAGCGCCCACTCGCACCTGACTAATTTTAACTTTCGTGCTCCTTTTTTGGGTGTAGAAATTTATCGAGCCTGAACTTGGGGGGAGAAATTTCGCCAGCAATTAGAGATTTGAAGAATCTGCAATCTCTGTATGTTTTCTGCACAAAATCTCTTTTATTTAGTATTTTTACAGTAGTTCCACAACTAGATGTTAAATGTTGGGCAAAATTCTCCTAGATAAAAACACTGACCAAATTGGTGCTTGATTATGTAATAATGTTTGCTAAACTCTGTGAATACATCTTGTTAACTTTTGCTTCCTTTATTTTGTATTTGGGGGCTTGACAGCCATGCGTATTTAACTCGAGAACCACAAGAAAATTAAACTTGGTGGTATTTACAGAGTATTATCTGTACATTTTTTTTTATACTGGTCCAGTCTGGATTAAAAACGCAATGCAATCTGTCCAATTTTGATAATCCTCTGATTTTTAAGATTCTGTAAGTAACGCCGTGAGTGCAGCCTAAGGCTTCAAATAAATTCATTATTCAAAAATCTCTTGATGTTGTGATTCTTACAAGAATGAAATATGTATATTTGTAGTGACCTCCAGGGAAACAATCTAACCGGTCAAATTCCAGATGAGATTGGTTACTGTGTCTATCTGATGCATTTGTAAGAATACCTATATCTCTTCATTTTACAATTTTATAACTTTTGAAATCTAAATGTTGTATGATAATTTTTTATTCATTTTAATGATTGCTATATATGTTTCAGGGATTTATCAAATAACATTTTGTATGGAGACATACCCTTCTCAATCTCTAAGCTTAAGCAACTTGATTTCTTGTAAGTTATGTTTTTTGCTGCAATATTCATTTTTTTGTTGAATAGACTGTAGTTTCAATACTTAGAAGTTTGAGTAAATCATCTCAAACAGGAACTTGAAGAATAACCAGTTCACTGGTCCAATCCCTTCTACGCTCACACAGATTCCTAACCTTAAAACTCTGTAAGTGACCTTGTCTTTCACCTGGAGACTTTTTATTATGTTTCTGACATTTCTCCAAGTTAACCATCTTTTGTTTCTTGTAATTCCAATTTCTCTTCGTTGGTATATTTCTTTAGTGATCTTGCTCAAAACCAGCTTACGGGTGAGATACCAAGATTGATATACTGGAATGAAGTACTTCAGTATCTGTAAGTGAAAAACAATTGCGCTTTATAGCTATCATCATTGTTTAGTTCGTCTATGAATATGAATTATCTTCCCTTCTAATGTAGCTTGTCGTGATGTGTAAATATTCTTCATCATTTTGTCACATGTTTGAAACAGTGGTCTGCGTGGAAATTCATTAACTGGATCATTGTCCCCTGATATGTGCCAGCTCACTGGCCTCTGGTTCTTGTACGTATCTTTCCTGTTTCTTTATGGATCTAATCTTTTTCATCTGGGAATGTTTTGCTAAGTTTAGTCTTAACTTACTTTCTAGAGACGAAGCTTCTAAGATTTGCCGAACGTGCTTTATACCATTTACTGCAACTTTATATTCATCTGTTTTGCAGTGATGTAAGGGGTAATAACCTGACCGGAACTATTCCTGAAAACATTGGTAACTGTACAAGCTTTGAGATCTTGTAAGTTCTTGTCCTATATTACTGTTGTATCAAATTTTGCCATTAAAGCATTAAGATTCTGAAAAATCTATTCATTCAGGGATATCTCCTACAATCAGATCACTGGAGAGATTCCTTACAATATAGGGTTTCTACAAGTGGCTACTCTGTAAGTTAAATTCCTCTTGATTGTACTTCTGCAGGAGGATGTTGCAACAATTCTACAAAATGCTAATCTTCTGTGCTATCAATATGTTTAAGTATTTCAAATCTATCCTTCTATAAAATCTATTCATGCTCTGTTGTAAGATCTATGTTGCGTGCCAAATGGTTTGTTTCTGGACAGGTCTCTACAAGGAAATCGGCTAACTGGAAAGATTCCAGAGGTGATAGGTTTAATGCAAGCCCTTGCTGTACTGTAAGTATGCGTATTCATAGAATTTTTTTGATAATTAAGATTATTTTGGTAAGTTTTCAGTTACAATCTTGAAATCTTACACATAATCTTGCACTTATTCAGGGATTTAAGTGAAAATGAACTAGTTGGACCAATACCCTCAATTTTAGGCAATTTGTCTTACACCGGAAAGCTGTGAGTTCAAGGCTTGTTTTGGTTATGATTCAAGTTTCTTGTCTCTGTTAATGTGGGCATAATAATATTGTGTATTTTAGGTATCTTCATGGGAACAAGCTTACCGGAAGAATACCACCTGAGCTGGGAAATATGACAAAACTGAGCTATTTGTAAGATATTTATTGATGCAACTTTTTGAATTTTCGGTTTTTGTTTTTACCCTGTGTCTTCGGCTGCTGACTGAGCTTATTTGCAGGCAACTAAATGAGAATCAATTGAATGGTGTAATTCCTGCTGAACTTGGGAAATTGGAACAACTTTTTGAGTTGTAAGTCCTTTGCTTTTTATTGATGTACATTTTGGTGCCCTTAAACTACCACCGGTTTCAAGATTTGATATCATCTTCCAGAAATCTTGCAAATAACAATCTTGAAGGGCCCATTCCCGATAACATCAGTTCTTGCACAGCATTAAATCAATTGTAAGATCTCTCGTTTATTTTCACTACGCATCTCCATGTTTCACATAGTTAACTTGTGAGTGGATTTTGACCTGGGGTCTTTTCTGCTTTATTTTCCATTCATTTAGGAACGTACATGGTAATCACTTAAATGGTTCAATTCCATCTGGACTGAAACATCTAGAGAGCCTCACGTATTTGTATGTTCTTTTCATGATTACTTGATAATGTTGATATCTGAACTTTTACTTCTTATCATTGAGAAGATCTATAACTGAATCCACAGGAATCTTTCATCCAACCAGTTTATGGGCAGCATACCAGTCGAGCTGGGGCATATCATCAATCTTGACACATTGTGAGTTTGAAGATTAAATGTTGTCATTATCACAGGCAAGTCTCTTTTGTGACATTTTTGGTTTCTTCTTTAGGGATCTATCAAGCAATGGTTTTACTGGACAAATTCCTGCTTCTGTTGGAGATTTGGAGCATCTTCTAACTCTGTAAGACATGAATATTCTTAGAACGCAACATTGTGTATTGATTTTGTGATATATGTGATTTTTCTAAGTGTGTGCTTACGCCAAATAATAGGAATTTAAGTCACAACCATCTTGATGGCCATATTCCTGCCGAATTCGGTACTCTAAAGAGCATACAGGAAATGTGAGTTTCTGTTGAGAATGGATTATGCTTTATTTTCCTTCTCCTTCATCATACCCATGACTACTAGTCACTTGTAGCCTCACTAACAAAGGATTCATTGCTGTAGCGATATTTCATTCAACACATTGTGGGGCAGCATCCCAGAAGAGTTGGGACAGCTGCAAAATCTCGCCTCTCTGTAAGTTACTTTGAAGTCACTTTGCATGTTTGGTTAAACATGAAAGAAAAAAATTAGAAGTTTCTCTAAGCAACCTCTTGATACCAAGATGACTTACTTTTTTCTTATTCTTTTAATTAGAAGAAGTTTTTAATCTGAAAGTAACTTATGCCTTGCAGTTAAGCCCCTTTTTTGACTCCCATTAAAATAAAACTCGTTATTTCTCATACTCATTTTAACCACACATCCAATCACTAAAATATTCTGTATGTAAATCCAAAATTTTTTCCACTTTTTAACCACATATTCTCCAAAAAAATCACTATTCAAAACATCATTTTACCTTATTTTTTTTATAATGAATATCAAACATGGGCTAAATAAATAACTTATTTTCAACTTCCAATAAAAAGAGTTATTTATGTCAACACTTGCTTATTCACTTGTGACATTTTAAGCTTAGCCAAACATGCTCCCAAGCCTATCAATTGAACTGTTGAGTGTCGTCCATTTGATCATCCCAATCTTGTAACATCTCGCGAGCAATAATATAGCCATTGTTTCTTTGTTTATATTTTGCTGCAGCATTCTAAATGACAACAATTTGAATGGAAGATTTCCCAACCAACTAACTAATTGTTTGAGCCTTGACAATCTGTGAGTTCTATTACTTAGCGTTGTCTTATTTTTAGAATTTAAATCTCGTTGTGGGTAACTGATGCATGTGTATGCAGGAATATTTCGTACAACAACTTTACCGGGGTTATTCCACAGGGCAAAAACTTCTCGCGGTTTCCACCTGACAGGTACAGGAACAGGGGTCATGCTTTCAAGCTTGCCAACACTTTCAATCCAGCTTCTCTCTTTGTTCCTTTATCTTTGATATATCATTGATTCATTTCTGATCCATGCTTAATACATTAATGCCAGCTTCATTGGAAATCCATTATTATGTGGCAACTGGCCGGGTTCGATATGTGACCCCACTCCAAAAATCAAGGGTATACATATTATATCAAATCCAGTATTATTATTGCTTTTTTGTTTTTTTACTCCTGTTCATGCGTGCTTCTGACTTCGTCTGGAGGGATAATGACTGGTTTTTATGTGCCGTGCAGCTATGATTTCCCAAACAGCTGTTGTTTGCGTTACATTAGGCTTCATTGCTTTGTTATCCATGATAATAGTTGCTGTTTACAAGTCCAACTTGCCAAACCAGTTTCTGAAAGAATCCAATCATAGCATTCAAGGTTTTACAGTCCTTCATATAAAATAACCTACCTCGAACCATATTTCTTTGTCCAGATTTACGAGTAGGTTACTTTCTTGTCAGGTTCGCCAAAACTTGTTGCTCTTCACCTGGATATGTCAATTTATACGTACGAGGATATTATGAGGCTCACTGAGAATTTAAGCGAGAAATACATTATAGGATATGGAGCTTCCAGCATAGTGTACAAGTGCATATTGAAAAATTCCAGATCAATTGCAATTAAGCGACTTTACAGTCAGTATCAATGTAACTCTGGCGAGTTTGAGACTGAACTTGAGACAATTGGCAGTATCAGGCACAGAAACTTTGTGAGCTTGTATGGATACTTGCTTTCACCCCAGGGGAATCTTCTCTTCTATGATTATATGGAAAATGGATCTCTATGGGATCTTCTTCACGGTTGGTAACTCCAATTATCATTTTCATTTTCGAGCATTACTATAATATAAATTCGATATGTGATATCTGCATCACCTTTTTCTATACGCGAAGAAAACTCTACACAAATGTAACGACTAACCAATAACTGGTTATGGACGAGCCAGTATATTATTTATGATTTCTTTCACGTGTTCATTTATCTTTGTATCAAACGTTTACTAAATGTTTTTGGGCAACATCCATGCAGATCCATCAAAAAAGGTAAAACTCGACTGGGAAACGCGCCTGAAAATTGCTGTTGGAGCTGCGCAAGGACTTGCTTATCTTCACCATGATTGCAACCCAAGAATCATTCATAGGGATGTAAAATCCTCAAATATTCTGCTCGATGAAAATTTTGAAGCTCATATCTCTGATTTCGGGATCGCAAAATGTATACCCAATGCAAAAACTCATGCATCTACCTATGTTCTTGGAACGATAGGCTATATAGACCCCGAGTATGCCAGGACTTCCAGGCTAACTGAAAAATCTGATGTCTATAGCTTTGGCATTGTTCTTCTGGAGCTACTGACTGGAAAGAAGGCTGTGGATAACGATCTGAACCTGCATCAACTGGTATTATTGGTTTCAGTCACTAGAACCAAAATTTAAGCCTATGTTTGGTTCCCATTTTTTCAAAAACTCATTTTCAACCACAATCTCGTAAAATAATATTACACATAAGCGAAAAAAAATTCTTATTTTTTATCCACAAGTTCTCCGAAAAAATCAATATTTCAAATCTCATTTTCCCCCAAGTTTTCATTAAAATGGAGGCCAAACAAGGGATAAATCGAAAGACATGGAAAAACATATATTTTTTATCATTTCCTCGAGCCTTGCTGAACTAGGATCCATGAGAATGTACGTTGAATGCATTGCATGACTTTTTTAGTTGAGCAAAACATGATCCCTCACTTTCCACTTGTGATGTGTTTATTCAGATACTATCGAAAGCAGATGATAACACGGTGATGGAGACTGTGGATCCCGAGGTTTCTGTTACCTGCATGGACTCAGGTCACATAAGGAAAACTTTTCAACTTGCTCTACTTTGCACGAGGCCTCATCCATTCGAAAGGCCAACGATGCATGATGTTTCTCGGGTTCTTGTCTCCATACTACCACCCCCTCCGGTGAAAACTTGCTCGGCTCCTCCAACAAGTATCAACTATGCACAGTTTGTGATCGGAAAAGGACAGACCCAACTGCAAATGCCTCCACAGCAACTCCAGCAAGACAACAATTCTTCTGATGCTCAATGGTTTGTTAAATTTGGAGAAGTTATATCGAAAACCAGTCTCTAAGATTATTGATGGCTCATTTATATCTATTATCGAAGGTGGGAATGGATCAAGGGACACGGGATAATCCCAATTTTCTTTATCACATGCTGAAACCACTAGATGAAAATTGCTGGAATTCTATTTAGCCTTTTGGTACAAGAAAACCTCAGACCAACTACATATGTACTATGATACTTTTTAAATTTCTATATACACAGGTATTTACACCGCTAGTAAATCCTCTCATGTTCATTTAGTTATTTGTTGTTTCATAATCTGCTTTAACTGTTTTTTGTTTTGGTTTATATGCACTCAGCATTTTGATTTTGCATCTGCATGCTGATTTTTTCCGGGTTCTTGATGCACATGCAATGGAGAAATTTGTGGCTCTTTCATGTCAAATCAACTAAATTGAAACTTTAAGACGAGATAATTTGACTGCCAAGTCTGCCTAAGACCTATTTATGAAAATGATCCCCATGAATATAAAATCATTTCTTTGAATGCAGGATTAGTCGCTATAAAATAGACTTGTAAAAAAAGAGCCTGTTTTTTTAGTTACAATGTGCTATTATTCTCATGGATTATACTACATGTATCGAATTTTTTTATCGAATCTTTAAATACAACACGCCAAACGCATTATGTGAGAAGGGATAATCCATTATGTGCAAACCGTTATGTACAAATGGATTAACCCTTGTTCCACTTAGCTATAGTTCACTAGATATGTTCTTGAGAGTTATCTTTTTTCCCTTCGAGCCATCTCAATATTGAGAAGATGTGAAAGCATTGTTTTTTTTTTTGATATCCTTGGGGACAGCATTGTTATAAAATTTAAACTAATATTGTCTGCAAATTTATTATGAAACTGTATATCATAATAGTTCACGTGACAGTACGATAGTCGAATCATTTTTATTTTGTAGGTCATATTTCTTAGTCATTGACCTGTAAACTCTGAATTATTCATGTTTGGGGTTTCATCGGGTCGATTGGGGGTGGCTGGGCAGGTCCTAAACCTTTTCTTCTTTTCCATAAGAATAACCGTCATGGATTTCTCCCTCTGCATCATGACTGGCCAGACGACAAAAATTCGCTTCATGTCCTATATTAAACACATCTTATGTTACCAGATTATGGTCAAAACTCTATTAAGACTGCGCATAATATAGTGACAAACAAGTTTTTGGATCCAAACCGAAGTTAAAGTGAAATGAGAGATGACAATAACACTACAACATATATGCCGCAGGCAATTATCACCATAGGCATTTGAATTACATGAAATGTCTTCTACAAAAACACCAAAGAAAAAGTAATTTGTGGAACAATCAAGAGGCCTACTTAAAAAAACAAAATGTCTATATAACGAGAGCATTATGCTGATAATTACTTTTCTTTTGGATGTACTTAACCAAGATTAGCCTTCAGACCTTTTGAAGCACCTACTTGAAGCTCAAAACAATATCCTTGTCCATCTGCATAAAAGAAAAGAAAAGAAAAGGATTGGAATCAAGATTATGTTTAGGAAACTAATCATATGACGACTACCAGTCGTTGTAACTTACAGATTTTGCCAGCTCTTTAGCCTTCTCATCGTCAAATCCAAGTGCAGCCAGTATCTTGTGCCCTGCAGCTTCCTTTTCTGACCAAATACCAAGTAGTAAATGTGTCGTTGTTACTTCCCCACTTTCACCTGCTTTTACATTCTAATCAGTCAAATAATATTGAAAAAGCTAAAATGTGGCATAAATATGTCACAGAGAACAAACTACTGTAATAATTTTTCATGAGAGCAACTTGCATTTGAATCATATATCAAATCTATAATTCAAGTTTGGCCAGTTTTGGTGATCAACTGTGAATCCACTAAAGCTTGGATTTTTCAAGATTTCAATATCACAAAAGATGGTGTATAACTGATACAGCACAGCTTACTAGCACGACGAATACAAAAGCTTAGGATTAGTCAGATGAAAGACTTCATGGAGCATAGAAGATGCTAGTAATGCTCTTCAATATTTCCCCACAAAAAAAGGAAAAAAAATCCAAGAGAAATATAAATGTTGTAATGTCTCCCTTTAGCTTTTATCTTAGTTTCCGTGCTCTAAACCAGCAACAGAGTCTAACTAGGCAATGATAGCCATTGCACAGGGCAACAGAAGATAAATATTATGCACAAATATCTCCTGAACATTGTTATAGTTTTAGAGAAGTTACATAAAGCACTAATATTACCAAATCAATATTGCAATGATTAAATGCTGCAACAGATAATTATACAATTATGTAAGTAATGGACAAGGACTACCTGACTTCAATTTTTCATCTAATGCCCAATCAAGAGCCCTTTGAGCTGGTTCAGTCAAGGGAGGATGCTCGGGACTGAAGAAATACATGTCAGATTTTCCAAGCAATTTCAAAGTTTCTTCTCGCACCTTGAAAAGTGTAATGCCATTTTCCCTCAAAAACTTTGCAGCCAAACTAGTTCCTGCAAAAAAAAATAAAAAATACAAGAACATAAGAGGCTCATAATGATTCCATGACAAAGATCCTTCTTTGAATTTAAATAAAAAACCTATTTCTAGGAAATAACACCAAATTGCAACTAGGCCAGCATTTTGACAATTTTTCAACACGGCAATGCCTTCAATAGTTATCTAGGTATGGAGTCATAGATATAAAGTTTTGATGCATAAAAAATATCAAAATAATTTAGGAATTCACCTATGAATGCCCCAATCTATTCATAAATGTGCATTTCAGTCCCAATTCAATTTATTTGGTAAACAGCTCCCCAACCTTCAATTTTGTAGGTGGGTCCCTAAAAATGGATTCATTCATCCAAGATTGTTGCTAAAACATCACACGGCTCAATTCTTTAGGCACTCTTTGAGGGGTATATTGAAGAACCCAATATCATTGTAATATCAGATTTACAATATAAGAAAGTTCATCTAGCAATCAAATAAGCTGAAATAACTATCATAGCAATATCAAGTGAATTATAATCTACAACCAAACTAGATTAACATGCACACAAATTGACTTGATTATCACTAAATTACCAACCTTCAACCAAAATGCCCATTAGCAAAGCTTCAGTTCCAGTGTTTGGGTACTTGAATTTCCTGGCCTCCAACTCCGCCATTGCGAATGACTTTATTGCCCTGGCTGCCCATCTACAGACACCATTGTTCAATAGCTCTCAGTACTAATTTTAAAATAAACCCTTGATTAATAACAACAATTCAACAACAACCAATTTTCATATTTAAATAAACAAAAAATTGAAAAACATACTTAGGTTTTCCTTCAGATGTATTTCTCTCCTGTTTTCTGCAAACCCCAAAATTGACAACACAAATAATTACTCAAATGAACAATAAGTAAAAAATTTATGTTTATAATGCATGTGAATGAACAGAATTTTACCCAGTGGGGAGACTGAACAGGACAGTGGCAACAGTAGAACTACGTCGTTTTGCAGCTAAAATTGAAAAATTCGATGATTGAATCGAAAGCTTCGTACCAATAAAAGAATTTGACAGACTCCCAGGCTTGAGAATCAAGGAACTCTCAATGGGCTTCTTGCAAGTTTGCGAAGGTATTATTGGTAGCACAGAAAGTGTCTGAGCAGCCATTTGAGTTCTCAATAGACCCTAATCCAATTGAAACTGGAAACTTGGTTGTTGGGTATTTGAAGAAGAAACAATTGGTTTAATTTAGCGAATGGAATTTGAAGATTTTAAGGTTAGTAATATGTAAATGGATAGGTAGAATTGAAAGTGAAATTCGCGGCGCGTAGATTGTAGGTGAGAGGAAGATTCTGGCCTTGAGTGGCGATACTTTTTGATGAAATTGCAGTGAAATAATACCCGGCCCGCAGAGAGTCTGATTAGTTGGGCTGAGCTTGGATAAATTGTGAATGGGCTTATGATCCATTTTTCATCAATCAATCGGTCCAATTTATCAAACCAAACTACCCCTTTTTCTTCACGACTTTGAAGTATACTTAACTAAATATTTATTGCGTAAATATTGATTATCTTAACAAGATAATTTTTGCAACAATTTTAATATGTGCTTAAGCCGTTAGCTCATAAGAACGATTTATTTTAAGGATAATGCTATGTGTACATAATATTTTACACAATCTTTTACACCCCCCTCACATGGAGGGGGGCGCACACACAATAAAATATTTGTGAGTCCCCCTCCATGTGAGGGGGTGTAAAACTATGTATACACCACAAAGTGTACACATAGCATTATTCGTATTTTAAAAGGAAAATGTATCCAAGCGCATAGATTGTAACGATTTGGCTGTGTCGAAGTTGATTTATTCATAGACACTATTTACATTGAAAGGTCTATACCCATTTTACCATTCATAAATTTCTGTTGTTAATTCCCTTACAAGTAGGGACAGATCCAGGATCGAATTGAAGACCAGGATAATACGTAAAAAAAAAAAATTACACAATAAATTTTTTTTTTTTTTACTAATCCGTCCCTACCTACAAGGCAAGTATATTATCGAGTTTTAAGTATTTTATATGACACAATTGATTATAGTTGGCAATTTATGAATATGAAAGTCATTAAGGGTCTGTTTGTTTTTTATTCTCAAATTTTATAGTAAATCAATTCTCATTTTCAATCACACATTCTTCAATAAAATAATATTTTTCATCACATCAATAATTTTTTCTTTTTTTTTTTTCAACCACACATTACCCATCATATCTCTATTCAAAAATCAATTATTCCCGCCCCCCGGGGCACATCCAAGTTGGCAAAGGATGGGCATTGTTGAGCTTGTAACCTCAGGGTGTGGAGTTCGATTCCTGGATGGAGCAATTGAGTGTTGTAATACTCAATTTGGGTGGAGCAGCTTGGTGATGTAATATCCATGGAGGAAGGCTCTCTTGGGCCAGGAGTATAAAGGGTGCACAGACCCTTGTCAACGTGGGCATATCCCGCGGTTAACCTCCACCCATCACTGAGGGGTCGGGGATGAGTGGTCCAGGACATAGTCTAGTGTAAGTTAGGATACCTGGATATCAAAAAAAAAAATCAATTATTCCCCAAAAAATCCCTATCAAACAAGCACTAAATGTACTCATTGTCAAGTGGAATCAAGTAAGACTATATTTGAATTAAAGGATGTATAAACGCGGTCGTCCACTACCATTTATATCATCAGCAATTTTCGGAAGACGGGGGACGAAACAGGACATGATATCCTCATTTACGATCCTATTTAATTGAATATTTATTTTTAAATATAATTTAAATTGAATAGCATAAAAATAATTAAAATATAATAAAGTAAAATAAAAGGATTCAGACATTCGGTGGAATTCAGAGAGCTGTTCCAATCCAGTTCACCTGTTTCAATTGTCCAGTTCAGACCGTCTCTGGGCCTGATTTTACCCCCTGGAATCAAACAATAAAACGCGGAGACAAATCCTAGTTTTCATAATTTATTCTAGCAAATCTATCATTAAATCAGATCAACCGAATTCCAATTATTACGTAATTGTCTACAAATCATTCTTTCCCGATCCAAATCACTTGTTTTTTTATCATTAATATTAGTTGATTTACGCTCCACCGCTTCTTAAACTCCCTGAACCACTTGTGCAATATATGTTCGCCGACAATTTTTAAATTTTTACCTATTTGACGGAAATTTTGAGGTTGAATCTTTAGTTTCCTTTGTTGGCATTCTATTTTACGGGTCAATTGGAGCTTAATGTGTATTCCGAAGGCAAGATTTGGGGAGTTTTCTCTACTGTGATTTGCAGTTTTTTGTGAAATTCCGAAAAGTGTGAATTTTGTTTGTGGGGTTTGAATGCTTGATTCAAATATATCATGATTACTCCATTAGGCAGAAAGTTGAAATCTAGATTGCATTTTTTGGTCGTATAATGAGATGGTCTAGGTTTCAGAATCTTGATTGCATCAGTGTTCCTTTTTAATTTATGTTCTCTCTCGAATTGAATTTTTGTGATTCGATGATCAATTTATTAATTGTCATAAATGCAGTTTAAATCAATGCGATTTGATTTTTTTGCTAACGATTAATTACTCTCTCTTCTTGATTTTGCAGCACAAATGCTTAATTTTACTCCTGTGGAGAAATTTTGGAAGACGACAATGTATAGTATTGCTGATTCGTGTTAAATTTATTCGTAGATGTTTCAATTTTGTCTCCACTGACAAGTAATGTTAGATTGAGGACATTTGCTGCAAACTGATATACTGTTGTTCAAATTGCAATCAAAAGTTTGACTGTAGTTAGTCTGAAAGTTGCTGTCAAATAGATATTTGGTGAAGTTTTCATTAGTCTTATGTCTTGTATCTTGATTATGTAGGTGCTGTTTAATTTAGAAAGAAAACCATGGCTTCGGTTTCTGTTAAAGAACAGCCTAGAACTGCCTATCCAAAGACCCTTTCATCGATTGTAGCTTCAGTGGGAGGCCTTGCTTTATTCTTAATTCTCGCCTCAACTATATTGGTCTCCCAACCCATTGGGTCCACAGTTCGTGGGTATTTCTATGGTGTTGATCACTCTATAATGATTGATTCAGTATCCACCCTTAATGAACCGATTTCTTCAGTATCCACCCTTAATGAACAGGTTTCTTCAGTATCTACCCTTAACGAATCGGTTTCTGGATTTAATTCTCAGCATGATGGTGGTGGATCTATGACAGTTGGTGGGGCTGATGGCCAAGAAACTCCTGTTGACAAAAAACAGAATCCTGATTCTCAAGATAAGAATGAATTGTCAAGTTCAAGGCAAGAAGAGTCCAAGAATCTGAAGGATGAGTCACTGCATTCTAATGTAAAGCAGCAAGAGACGGTCAATAAAAGTTTGGCTCTGCCCGCAGTTACAGAGGGTGATGATAATGCCCCATCCAATAATACACGTGGAGGATTGAAGGACACCGTGACATCTTCTCCTACTGCTACCAACAGGAGTCAGCCTGATGTAGTTGATTCAGGTACTAGCTCATTTTCACCATGCAATTTTAGCCTGTATTTCCATTATTTCTAAATACCAAGACTTCTCTGATGGGTTTTTACATCTTCTTTAACTTTTATGTAACTCTTGCATTTTACATTTTGTAATGTACATACAATTGGAGTTTAGTTTTCTCAATTAGTTATGATTTACTTAGCCAGTTAGCCTCCCGTTGGAAAACTTTGTAAATAAATTTATAAATGGTCACACTTCATTTTTAACCACACCACAAGCAATTTCCACTTATCCACCACTCAATTCTATCAAATTATTACACCATTTATATATTCTTTCCAAATGAAGGCTTAATAGCCCCAGTTGGAGTCTTTCTGTCTCCTTGTCTGTGTTGTTTACTTTTGTTGGAGAAAAATAATTTGTTTGTGTTGTTTATTAAGTTTCATATCTTTATTTGGACACGGGCTGATAAGCTTTCTGCCTTACCTCTAGACATATTCAGTTTATTGATATATCTAATGATTCCAACATGTAGGACAAATTACATACCTCTATATTCTTATGAGAATTGAGAATACTCTTGAAAGCATCAGGAATGATATGATAACTAATTAGGAAGGATAGCCTAAACACCACACTTTCATTTTTCTCACAGTTTTTCTAATCAAGTATTTGTACTTTTCTTTTATGAAAGGACATTAATCAATTGTTTGTGCTTAAATTGCTTGTCACCTCGGCAAAGTCCTTTGCAATAACTTTTTCAATCATGATGTAGAAATCTCATTTAAATCAAGCTGGGTATGGCTGACATCAGTGAGTATATAGTTTTGAGCTTGCACAGATAGAAAATAATATATATAGGCACACTGGCTGGGGTATGAATGGCCTATTGAATTCTGGAAACTTGCACGATATGCTGATGGCTTTATCTTGTGATACAAAATGCCATACAAAGTTAGTTCTATGCCCTGAGCTGAAAACTTTCGCAGTCATCCTATTTGGATTGCTTTTCAAGTCATAAGAAAATAAAAATAAAATTTATTGAGTATAAATTCACGTGTGAGACATATGACCTGAACTTAGCTATATCTTGATCATGTTACAGGATGCGATCTTTACCATGGAAAGTGGATTTACGAATCGACTGGACCATTGTACACAAATAATTCCTGCCCTATTATCACTCAGATGCAAAATTGCCAGGGAAATGGAAGACCCGACAAAGATTACGAGAATTGGAGATGGAAACCTTCTCAGTGTGACCTGCCTAGATTTGAAGCAAAGAAGTTCCTGGAGTTAATGAGAGGAAAGACATTAGCTTTCATTGGTGATTCAGTAGCTCGAAATCAGATGGAATCACTGCTGTGCATCCTTTGGCAGGTTATTGGAAAGATCTCATTTATATTTATTTAATTTCTCGATGTATTTAAGGCAATTTTCTTTCTGTTTTCTTTTTAGGCTTCTCCTATTCTTATCAATTATTAGTCCTCTGACAACCTTCATATTTTAGTTCTCTGAACTCTCTGGATCAGTTACATTGGTGATTTGTTCTTACTCTATATCTCTCTCTTCTCTCTTTCTATTTTTTCTTTTTTGGCTTGGAGTGTTAATTTTGGAATTCATGTTTTTGTCCTTATAGCAAATGAATGATTTTGGCAAAAATCTGTATGTTGATTCCATCCCACTCCAACCAAGTGTATAGAAAATATTTTTCGGAGAAAGAACAATGCATTGAAAGGAAACCCTTTAGAGCCTTATACCCCACTACACATGCAAATTCTTTCTCTTATATAAATTTAAACGCCTATGAAATCAACAACTGGGAATCTGGGATGGTGAATTCCGTGCTGTGTCATAATGCTACGGGGAAAAAAATAAACTATATAATATAGGAGCAAAACAATAACTCCTAACCCATCATTAATCCACCAAGACTGGCATGTTATTGGTTTTGCGGTTTTTAACCCGTAATAACTGTTTTCAGTTTTTATTTTCTTTTTCCATATTTCCCGTATCCTTTTTCCAAAGGTTAGCCCGGCTTCCTCTTTTTTTTTTTTTTGGGTTCGTAGAGGAGGCATCATTTTCCAAATTACATCGTATCAGCTCAGTTCATTTTTGTTTTAATAGCTTTGAAGCCTCTGAATAAAAACTTAGTGAACCCTGATAAAAGTAGTTTTGACAGCAAATACCTACTGTTTGACTGTACAATTCTCTCTGTAGATGTCTGTTCAGTTGTAAAAGGTTGGTTTTTTAAACCCTCAAACTTATTTTTGCCAGAATTATCTGTTTGCTTTCCAAAGAAGTATAAATATTACATATGGACTCATCCACATAGAGCATGTATATGATTTGCACTTTGCTCGTATGGATTATTTATTGTTATTTTGTTGAAAAAAAATGGCGCTCCAATTCTTAATTCTGGGATTCTTTCAGGTTGAGGTTCCGAAAAACAGAGGAAATAGAAGAATGCAACGTTATTATTTCAGATCTACATCTACAATGATTGTTCGCATATGGTCGTCCTGGCTTGTTCACCAATCATCTGAGCCATTTGATTTTGCTCCAGCTGGTGTGGTCAAGCTCCATCTTGATGCACCTGATGAAGTTTTCATGCAATACATTATGGATTTTGATGTGATAGTCCTCTCCTCTGGCCACTGGTTCGCAAAGCAGTCAGTATATATATTGAACAATGAGATCATGGGAGGACAATTGTGGTGGCCAGACAAGTCTAGACAAAAGAAGATTGACAACATTGAAGCCTTTGGAATATCCATTGAAACAATTGTTACTGCATTAGTCACACATCGGAATTACACTGGTCTAACAATAATTCGTAGCTTTTCACCTGATCATTATGAGGGTGGAGCTTGGAACACTGGAGGATCGTGCACTGGAAAGGTCAGGCCTGCCTTGGATAGTGAATTAGTTGAGAATGGTTTTACCAATATAATGCACGAGAAGCAGGTGACAGGGTTTAATCGTGCTATGAAGAAAAAGAGAAACAAATCAAAAATAGAACTAATGGATATAACAGAAGCATTTTCACATCGCCATGATGGACATCCAGGTCCATATCGAAGCCCGGATCCGAATAAAATCACTAAAAGGGGCCCAGATGGAAGGCCCCCGCCTCAGGATTGCTTGCACTGGTGCATGCCAGGTCCAGTTGATACGTGGAATGAACTCGTGTTTGAAGTTATAAGAAGAGAGTTTGAGGACAGACAAAATATTGCTTAATGAGAGTCGCTCATCTTGTTACTAAACTATCCCATGTTTCTCTAATTTATATAGTACTTCGCACTAAAAACATTGTAACTTGTGGATTGAATGAGGGTTAGTAGTTTTTACCCTAAAAAATCTTATATAGAGATACTGGAATAGGTCTAGTTTGTGAATTACAATGTTATTCTTTTCTTTAGTTGTGACTGTCACAACTCACAAGAATATAAGTTATTTGTTAGTCGGTTGTTGATTTTTCTTATTTCAAAGAAATTAAGTCTTCTGTGATTCTTTGCCTATTCAATGATGACTTCATTCTTTATCAAAACTAGTCTCTTTTTTCTTCCTTCCCTGAAAGGTCTTCTATATTCATCTGTTTTGGAAGTGATCGTAGATTTGATACAAAAAGCCGAGTTTAATGTTGCTTTTTCTCCAACTGAGCTTTCTAGGCTTTACATTTTCACTTATATCATTGTTCACTATATGATAAAAAAATGAATTTCACGGGAGCTTTTACGAGTGTTGAGATGGCAGCACCTATATAGTTTTTTTTTTATTATTATTGTTTCTTTTTGCCAACACCTAGTGAAAATTTGCCGAGTGAAATTATGTACATTTCCATGTAAAACTCCCGACATAGTGTTGTTCTAAAAAAAATGCCCAAAAATGTAAGCCCCATTGACGTTTCTTGTGTCCTTTTTCTATGACGTGGTAAATTCTGGGCCCGCTTTTACGTTGCTAGTTTTTTATTTTATTTAGGCCCCGTTCGGGACTGATTAAAATCCAATTAAAATTGAAAATATGGCTTTTATTGGGCCCCACCAGTCTAATAAAAGTCAACAGTAACGGCTATATTTTCAATTTTAATTCGATTTTAATCCCTCCCATACAAGGCCTTACTGTCGGTAAATGGTCAATTGATCAGTATAATTTTCCCCACTGGTCCCCAACCAATTGCTCTAGTATCAAGTTGGACTCAAAATCTTTGAAAATAGCAAATTAGTCTTCATATTTTTCTTATAGTTGCAAATCAGTTCCTGATTAGTAGAAATCATTCGAAACTCTTTTAGCCTCCATTTTTCAAAAACTATAAATCATTTATAAATAGTTAATTTTTATTTTCAACCGCACATTCTAATGAATCCACCATCTCATTTTTTTTAATTTATGAATTAAATCATATATAACTTCTTCACAAACGGAGGCTTAAATTATCACAGCATTCAAACATCAAATTTAGTAAAACTATGCCCTCATTTGGACCACCTTTTTATCTCATTAAAATGAAAAATATGATCGTTATCAATCACATCAACATTTAAATTCAAATTTCTTCTCTTGTGTGGGTTTTAATAATGATTATATTTTTCATTCTCATTCTACAATAAGATGGCTCAAACAAGGCTTATATTTTATTTTTTTAACTTAAAAATTGCTGCATTGGATAATAATTCAATGAAGATTTTAACGGTTTCTCTCATTGTGGATTCAATATGCAACTTTAATGATGGGTCTTGGACCATCTTGCTCACTTATAAAGTTGAAGGGTGATCATGCTTACTAAGCAAAAAGTTGTGGACCAATTGAAAGAGTATTTTTTCTCTCTTCCCCATTTGAAATTTAAAATTTTCTTCGCAAACATTAAAAACCCTCGTACACTCATTCTCAACGGTCGAATTTCTAAACGTTTCTCTATCTTCTCTCTCCAGCTCTGAAACGAAGAGTTCAAATCTTTCAATCTCTTAAAATTCATCTCTCTTAGAGCAAATCTTGAGATCTGGTTCTGAATTGTTACAACTCAGGTTTTTGTTTTCTTCGGTTAAATTTTCGGGTACGTTCTCAGATCTAGGTTTTGTTTTCTTTCTAGTTTTTTTTTTCCGTTCGTTAGTATGGATTTAGAGAGTTATTGAGTTTGAGAAAATTGAAATAATACTAGTTCATGTATTTAGAAAATGGGTTTGGAACTAATTGGCTATAAAGGTTGTGGTGCTTGGAGTAGCGATTTTAGTAAGTTAGATAACTATTTCTGATGAGTGACTTAGGTAATGTTTCTATTCGTTGATCAGTGTACGCTTGTTTCAAACTAATTGGGTTTTGGTTGAATCGAGCTGGTTTTTTTTTTTTCCGTTTCATTTGTGAATTTATCTAGGGGTTAATTCCGTTCCCCATTCCGTACCTGATACCACCGACATTGATGCTGTAGTACTGAAACTTATAAGTGACGATGAGTTTGGTAAAATTAATAATCCAGACTGTGAAGCAAAGTTAATGTAAAATATTAATTACTTCATTTGTATGAAGAAAATGAATTAGAAATCCAATATTCTATGGTCAAAAAAATAGTTCACTATTAGGCGAATTAGTAAGGCGGTAGGGTTTCTTTGCAGAATTTATTGTTGTTTTTTGACAACTGAAAGTTATTTTACTGAGTTACTGCAATTCTTGGTGAGTTATTGTGCCTTCTTCACTGTGACTTTCCATGGTGGAAGTTACACTTTTAAGCATTAATAATAGCTTGTTGATAATCGGTATTGAAGTTGATTGGATTTCTAATGTGATTGTGCGTTAGTACATATATTGTGCATGTATTCTCATAAAGTTGGATTTCATGGGCAGGTTAAAGTTGATCCACTAGTCAAAGTGATCTGCAATTGCAAATGGAAACAGCATGCGGATCTCTTCTATATGAATTACAGGTTATTTTGTTTCGAGTACAAATTTTTACCTAAAGATTAGTTTATGATTTATTATGTTTGAGTCCTTACTTTAAAAGTGAAATCTTCCCGTCACTTGTAATGCTTTAGTATCATTATCCTGCTGATTTTTTATTCTTATGATTTGTTGGAAAAATAATAGATAATATGGGATGAGGTAGGAGAGTCAGATGCTGAAAGGGACAGAATGTTGCTTGAGCTTGAACGGGAATGTTTGGAGGTGTACAGAAGAAAAGTAGATCAGGCAAACAGGTGTAGAGCTCAGATTAGGCAGGCAATTGCTGAATCTGAAGCTGAACTTGCTGCCATCTGCTCTGCAATTGGAGAACGACCAGTTCATATTCGGCAGGTCAGGATATAAAACGTATTATGATTAGAATTAGTAAATTGCAGTTGATAAAATGCTTTAATGATTTTGAAATATTGTCGAATATGCCAATGAAAAATTATTTGAATTCAAATACAACTTTAATCAGCCTCAAATTAGATCTAGCATTTCATTTTAAAAATCTGTTTGTAATTTTGAAATACTGTGTTGGCTAAACATTGGTTAAAGGTTACTATTAAGTGAGTGATTAGGAGGAAACTTGAATACTGTAATCCTAAGATTACCAGATATGAAATATACTGATAGCCGGAAAAAAATAAAGTAAGATACAATTTGAGGTGAGATTTTTGATGATATTTACTATGTTTCTTTGGCAGTCTGATCAAAACCCTGGAAGCTTGAAGGACGAACTTAGATCCATTCTTCCACAGATAGAGGAAATGCGGAAGAGGAAATGTGATAGAAAGAATCAATTTGTAGAGGTTTTAGAGCATATACAGAAGCTTAAGAGTGAACTTTCTAATTCAAGTGGGTATATTTCTACCACTTTGGTAGTGGATGAAGCTGATTTGTCTCTAAGAAAGCTTGAAGAATTACAAAGAGAGCTGCAGGCACGTCAAAATGAAAAGGTTATTCTTTGCTCTATAGCAGTATTATCTGTTCTTAACTTGCTTTGTAGTGATTATCCATGACTAACTTTCTTTTCTGTTCCCTTGGTTTCAGAGTGAACGTCTGAAGCAGGTTCTCGATCACCTCAATACTTTGAACTCATTGTGCTTGGTGCTTGGTATGGATTTCAAACAAACTGTCACTGAGGTTCATCCCAGTTTAGGGGACCCTGAAGGTTCAAAAAATATTAGTCATGATACCATAGAGCAGTTAGCAGCTGCTATTCAAAGACTGAAAGAGATTAAGATACAAAGGATGCAACGGGTATATTAAATTATAATATGCTTCTTTCAGTTTTAAGTTGATTATTTTCAGCGTGCCAAGTTGTTATTTTCTTCCTTGGCAGCTGCAAGATCTCGCCATGTCTTTGCTGCAACTGTGGAACTTGATGGATACACCTCCTGAAGAGCAACATGTTTTTCAGAAGGTCACCTGTAATGTAGCAGCCTCAGAAAACGAGATTATGGAGCCTTACATGCTGTCTGCTGACATTATTAATTGGGTAAGCCATGGTGCATGTTTGCCAAGAATATACGTTCGAACATGTTTGGCTAAGCATAACTACAAGTTACTTTAAGTAACCTTTCGTTTCCAACATGTTTAGATAACTGATGTTTTTCTTTTTCATTCTTAAGTAAAAAACTTGCTTATTCTGTTACCTTATTATGAAAGTAAATAGCTTATTTCCAGTTTTGATTAAAAAATTTGTTTATTTTAAACTTGCTTATTTTTGTATAAGTTAACTTTTTAAGCTTAGCCAAACATGCTTGATCTTTCGCTTTGGTGTGGTAGCTTTATTTTGATGACTTAGAAACAGACTGGGATATTAAGTATTGTAAATCATTTACCAATCAGGTTGAGACAGAGGTTTCTCGGTTGGAAGAGTTGAAAACAAGCAAAATGAAGGAGCTAGTTCTGAAAAAGAAGTCGGAGCTAGAAGATATTTGTAGGAAAACACATCTGATTCCAGAAACTGATATTTCATTGAATATTGCTATTGAAGCTATTGAATCTGGTACTTACTTTGTATGTTGGGAAGGATAGAAATGATATTTTTGCTTGAGTCTAATTCTATTTTCCCTCAATTAACAGGAGCTGTTGATGCAACTTATGTGCTTGAACAAATTGAGCTTCAAATAGCTAAAGTTAAAGAAGAAGCATTTAGCAGGAAAGATATCCTCGACAAGGTTGAGAAGTGGATGGTTGCGTGCGAGGAGGAGAGCTGGCTTGAGGAGTATAATAGGGTCAGGTTTTTGAACAAGGTTCACTATTTATATAACGAATTGCAAGCATCCAGTTGCTCAGAG